ATTAGGTTCTCTTTCACTGCTGATAATGGAATCACAAAGAAAGCTTTCAATGCTCACATTATTATTCCATTGCATTTATATCCCACATTTCTTCCTTTTGCAAGGGACTCAAAGCAGCTTGCAAGTTCTCCTCCTCTCCAGTTTATCCTCACAAGAGCAATCCTGTGAGGTAGATTGGACTAAAAATCAGTGACGGCCCCAAAGTCTCCCAGTGAGCTTCATGGCTGAGTGGGAAGTATGATTGATTGTGTTTGTTTGTTTGTTTGTTTGTTTATTGACTTGACTTGTCTGTCACCTCATTAGCCATAAGGCTGTCTGGGCAGCTCACAACATGTTGCTACAACAGTTAAAACAATACAATTTGTAATGCATTTAAAACAGTTTATAATATAAAAACCATCAATAGAAGTAAAATCAAAAATAAAAATAGACATAAAATTAAGCAGTCAACAAGTATTTAAAATAACCTTAATAAAAATAAAGTAAATTTAAACAAAATTAAATCAAGTACAAAATATAAAATCTGGTATGGGCAGCAGCAATTGGCAGCATAAACCATTAAAACTATAAATCAAAAGCTCACTCACCAAAATGATTTTAATTGGTGCCTAAAAGAATAAAGAGATGGCGCCAGCTGAATCTCTGATGGAAAAGAGTTCTGTAACTGGGCACTGTTACAGAAAAGCCCCTTCTCCTTTCCATTTCTCCTCTTACTTAATTAGGTGGGGGACATGGAGAAGGGCCTCAGATGACCACCTCAGTGATCAGGTTGGTATACATGGAATATATATTCCATGTGGTATATGGAACCTGGAACGCCTGGGTCCCCAGTCCAACGCACTAACCTCCACACCACATAATCACCATGCTACTTCTCTTCTGCAGTAGTCTTAAATATATAATTTAAGAATTCATTTTGCTTTTTAGTCTGTGGTAATGTCTTCCTGTTTGGACAACTTGGTTGTCTTCAAGGGTCCTTAGGACCCACAAGTAGAGGTTCCAAAGTGAAACAAAGTGAACTTAAGACTGGTGCATTGGCTGGGAAGATAAGTAGGGGACAATTTTGTCATTTCCACCCGAGGCACAGAAGCTTAAGTGCGTCCATGGCCCAAGCAAGGCATGACAGTGGCAATTTAGCCACTGCTGCACCTGACCCAGTGCATTTTCTCTAGACGGCTGCTTTCAGCCATCTGGATAAGCTAATGGGAAGCATCAGAGAAGAAGGCTGGGATGCCAGTGGGATTGGCATATGGAGACAGTGCCAGCCTTCTGCCCACTCCACAGCATGCCCCTTTCCCAAGCACATTTGCACTTTTGGAGAACGTGAGTGAGCTTCTTTCTGCGCCTGCTGCGAGAGAGGAGGGATGGGAATCCTGAAGAATTGGGAGGCTATAGGGTTGCTCCCTAAGTGTTCTAGATGATTAAGGACACAATCTCATGCATGGTTAGACATTAAAAAGTCCCACAATGCCCAGCATTCCCTAACTAGCCGTGATGGCTGGGGAATGCTGGGAATTGTAGGACTATTTTTGTGCCTCAACACTCATAGGATTGTACCCTTAATGTCGTTTTTTGCAGTGGGATGAGAAAGGATAATTGCAAGTAAAGAATTTGTTAAGGAGAGCTTGTGATAAACATGAGAACCAATAAACAAATTAACCTACACACACCCTGCAGAGAGCATGAGCAAAGAATTTTATCTGACCATGTTTTGTATGCAATCACACTGTGTAATATATGGCTGTAATTCTACAAAAACCTAGTGCAACACCTATAATGAAAACTTTATCAGAGGCAAGGCAAGGCTTCTTTCAGTTCCTGCCTAAGCATAATTGTTAACAAATAGGAAAAATATGAAACAAAATTAAAGCAATTGTTTTGCCCTAAGGGGCCATATCCAAATTAGTAAAGTCTCTTTAGGGACATCACAAAGTTCCCACATGTCAACAACAGACATTTCTGACAATACTACTCCTTTCTCTTTTGCTTTTGAAAGCCATTGTTGGTAATCCTGCATAGCCTACAAAGTTTAAGTACTGCAAAAACAGAACACAGAAAAACAGTTATATGCATCTGTGACTGCAGTACTGAGCTTCTAAAGAAATTATTTCTGATTCACCCTCCCTGGCTCAATAAAACACCAAAAAGTACAAAATTTGATCCAACCCTGTTCTTAATCTAGATTGATAGTCTTTTCTTGAAAGAAAAGGAGGAGAAAATATTTTGAGGCTATCATTGTCCACTAACAAATATTCCCTTTTCTTTTCCTCTTCCCCTGACAATACAGAGCTTTGGAGAGTTGTTATCCTTCACTGCATTGTCCCAACAGTGAATTATCAAGCACACTGAAATCAGACTCTGTTTTGCTTTCCCTTGGCAAAGGGTCTGTAACAGAGACAACAGGGAATGCCTTAGTTTAGTTCAACTGTGTTAGAGGAGTCAGCATGAAGGGCAGAGGTCAGCCCCATAACCCTCCCCCTGAAACACCCCTAATTCTGTGTGAAAATAAGTTTGCTGGAGTCAACTGCTCTCAACACAGTGCTGGGTCAAAAAACAACCTGCTATTGTTTTACATGTGACTTTTACTTTTCTCTGGTACTTCAAAAGGCCCTGCTTTTCTCCACAGCCTGAATGGATTGCCATTGATTTTCAGATAAATTTTCTGAAACTTGCTGAAAAACAAACATAGAAGACTTACCATGATAGAAAGTACAGTGGTACCTTGGCTCACGAAATTAATCCATTCCAGGACTCTGGTCATGACCCAAATTGGTTGTGAGCCAAGTCAAATTTCCCCATAAGGGGCAATGTAAATAAGGTTAATCCGTTCTGCAACTATTTTTTCTTACTCATAAAATTTTTAAGCAAAGTGACAAAGAACAAAGATCACAGTCATCCCCCCCCCCAGCAATTGTGTGGGGGGGTGGGGGGAGACGGGTGCAGACATGTGCAGGAGGGGAGGAAGGGATCCGTGGGGGGGCATGGGCCCGCACGAGCAGGGAACACAGGCACAATTGTGGCCATCTCCCTCCCAGCATGACCGCAATTGCGCCCGTGCAGGGAAGGTGATTGCGCTCACAATTGTCACCCAATGCAGTTTGCGACCTGTGGCAAAATTTTTATGAAATTTCTTTTTGCGACCCAATTTGGTCGTGAACTGAGGCGTTCATAAGATGAGGTACCACTGTAACCATCTTTATATCATTCTTTATTTGCTTGGATGCTCACCCTACTTCCAGACTCATGGTCTGGCCATGAACAGAACCAAGAATAGGCCTAGTAGGGCACTTGCTGAAGTCCCTCATCCCCACAGGGGCCCACTTGCAAGAGCTCCTGGAGTTGCTCCTCCCCTCGCTGTCGCAACTTGCTTGTTCAGCTGTCTTTTGCTCTGGCTGGTCAACAGTGCTGATCAGAAAGGGCCGTAGATGCCAACGCCTACTGGCTCATCAGCTCTCTGCCTACCAGGCAAGCAGTGGTTGCAGTGAGGAAGAGCAGGGAAATTACCTCCAAGGAAGGAGCACTGTTGAGGGTGTCTTGCATAAAGGCCCTCCAAGACTTATCTGGCCAAATTGCAAAATGTGGGGTAACCAGAAGGTACATTGAGGTTTACTGGTGAAATGCTGGCACTATTCAGCAAGGGTTCCAGGCTCCTATTGGTTTAGCAGTAGCAACAAAAAGGAAGACTTCCATCTAAATTAGGATGTTGTAATATATGCATTGATCCATAGCTTCTACATAGCCTGAAGTGCCTGATCCTGTTTAATCCTGGAAGCTAAGCAGGGTGACGACTGGTTAGAATTTGTGCTGCACTGAGCAGGGGTTGGCCATGCCCCTTCCAGCAGTATGATTCTATATAACTCTGATTTATCCTTGTATATGCAGGGCATCTCAGTCTATGGTTTATGGGATAGAGCAGTAATTGGCCTTGCCACCCTTTTGTATCTAGTTCTCCCATGCCCAAGCTTATTTTGCAAACTTACGATCCAAGTTTCTAGTAAAAATGAACTCCTGAGTTGATCTGGAAAGCCTGAAATCTGCCCAAGTCTGGTCTAAAGGCTTGTTGTTTATATGATCTAGTTCCTCCAAATGGTTGGTGTACCCATGGCCACCTCCAGTTCTGTTACAGTAATTGTACAAAAAACATCACTGCTATTACAAAACTAGGGGGCATCTAAAATACTGGTCACACTGGTGATACTGATTCATAGAAATATACCTAAAATTCTAGCGGGGTTGTGCTGGCTGCACATGCATGTAAAGGCAATTGTGTGATTCCCACCAAATGCATGCTTGGACAGAGATGGTTGTGTTCTAACAACTCTAACACCTCATGATCACTGATATTTAATCACTGATATAAAAGATTTAATAGGATCAACAGAGTATATCTGTTCTTGAATGTCTCCTATTCTTCAAGTTTGTTAAGGTATGGAAATGCACTGTTAAAGCTTTGATTATCTCTATCCTTCTGTGATACCTTGCAGCTACACCAACTTAATATTTAATTTTACATTAGACTGAATTGCTAATTTATGTGTTTCTTTTTAATATATTATTACAAAGCTGTACATTTACTATGGACCATACTAGGGAACAACTTTGTGTAACTATCTAATGAATCTGAACAACTGAAAGCCAGGAGTTCAAAATATTGTTATGAAGAACACTGGAAAAAGTTGCAATTAATACAAAACAAATATACTGTACTGAACAAGCATACTGAACAATGAAAACTACCTCATTCTCTTATCATTTGGATGTTAAGAAACAAAAGAAGCTTGGGACTGCATCTTAAATTTCATAGGATTGTTTAAGATTATATCAAATTATATAGTTTTAAAGAGAAAAGATTTCATAACTCAGTTGAGCCTTGTCTATGGCATTTTAAATCAGACTTTTTCCTTATAATTTAGTAGAAGCAGTTCCAAAGATTAAGCTTTGGGCTGAAACAGTGGCTTGCACAGGGATTTGTCCCTACTTTGACTTTTTCTAAATTCAAGTGCCAGTTTGTTTTTGTTTATTTATCTTTTCTACCACAATGAAAATATTCTACACTCTCATAATGTTGAGTATCTTGTGTACAGGAAGAGGTAACAATATCAATTAAATCCATTTAAATTCCAGGTTGTAGCACAACAAAATGTCACAACATGTCAAAATGTCAAAAAGAGGGGATACTTCTGCAAGGCACTGTATACATAACATGTTTTACCTTCAAAATTTTAAAACAATTAGTTTCGTTTACAGCACAATGTCGTAATTGAAACATAGATTAATACACAGCTGAGCTAATGGACTAATACAGCCCTTGTAAAATGTTTTAGTGGAAGAAATTGTGCATCTGACCTATGTATGTTTACTTGGAGCTGTGACTCAACTAAGTTCAATGAAGCTTATTCTCAGTAAGAGTGTACAGGATTGCAACCTAAAAGTATAAATACAGATGAAGCTCTATGAACAATCATCCCAATGTCAAAGAAACTGAGCTTTCATCCTTTTGCATTTGTAAGAAGAATATTGAATCATAAAAATATAGTAAATACAGTTTTTTGCTTCTGTTTCATCTATGCCTCAAAATAGGTAAGAGATATCAGTGGACAATTTTCTTTCAAGATAGTTCTCTAACACAACTTTAACATTTTTCAAATTAAGTGGCTGAAGATGCTAACAGGCCAATGTAACTATACATAGAAGCAAGTCTCACTGGATCCAATGGGACTTACTCCCATTGAGGTTTATGCAGTTACTTGGGTGAAAGTCCAAAATTCAACAGGGCATTTTCAAATAAGGATGCATAAGATCAAATGTGACAGTTTTTAAATGCCTGTGATGAAAAAAATTTCCATATTTTAAAGGACAGCTTTAAAAAAATATGCATTTTTTTATCTTTATTTAGAACAGAGCCATAACAGAGGTCTCTTGTTCAGGGCAATACAATAAGTAATAATGCTATCTATAAAAATATATCTCCAACATATCTATGAATGAAAAATATAAATATTTAAATATCCCAGCTCTGAATCAAATACACCTTCCTGGTCTGTCTATGGCAGATGTATTACCAGAATAAAAATAAATCCTTTCAAATGCAGAATAATTAACAACTAACCAAATGTGTGATTAATGACTGGGCTTGCAACATGGATTTCCCACAAGTGTTGCTTAATTTTTTCAGTTTAACAGATTTGAACATGTTTTAAGGACTTCAAATATATAAACAAAACATATACAGCATAATGCAGCAGAAGCCAAATAATTTCAGATTTGATTATTTGCCATGTGGGAGTTGGGAACATACCTAAATCTGTCACATTGAAATTGCAGCAATGTAAAAATGTTCAGTTTGGGCTGATTCACACACATATATGCCCAATATATTCACACATATTGGGTAGGTAATGTCTGCTACTTGCATTTGTTCCCTTACCAGCTTACATGCAGCTTTCTCATGTTTGAACCACAATCCTGCAAATAAGTGATCATGTGGGGAAAAAATCCCTCATCTACTTCAAGAAGGCCAAAAACTTTATTGAACTACTAATGCTTAAAAATGAGAGAAGCCCCCACTGCACTGAATATACAAATACAAAGCTTTAAGTTTGAAACTAATAATTTGCTTTGTCTGCCCTGCAACAAAGATCTTTTTCACTTATGCATTGTATGAAATGCTTGAACACAGAACTGCTTACAGAGTACCTGTTAGATGCAAGTATCTCCTAATGATTTACAGAGGTCACAATCCAACCAAAATGAGGTTCTTTTGGATCTCACTGTTCTCCTATGGTGGGAGAAACATATGCTTATGCTCTACTTTTCCACTGACATCAATGGGACAGAAAACTGCTCAGCTCTTGCTGGATTGTCCCCAAAAGTGTCATTAGCACCTTATTCTAATAATTTTGAATAATTCCTGAAGAAAGAGGTAACAAACTACATAATCAAGGTTTTTCTCTCACATTATTTTTGGAAGAGAAACATGTTTGCAGAATTATCTTCTAGAGCTGTAAAAACCAATACTATGCAGAGGCAGTCTAAGATGTCAAGGCAAATTCTATTTTGGGCTGTTCTGTCATAAAAAGGCATTACTGTGCCTTTTATAAAATTACTTTTTTCAGTGATAAGACTCTCCAGCTGAGCCAAACTGAATATAAAACAGGAGAAGTGGATTTCGGTATATGGCACAAGTTTCATTTGTATAGGAGTGTTTTCTTTCATCAATTAGTGGGGCACTTCTCACATTCCACACTCCACCCTAGTCATAGAATAGTATAAAAGTAAAGATGAAAAAAAATCTATCTTGGCATGTGGCTCCCTAACACATTGGCATCTGACACTATGTGAGCGATGAGAGAAAAAAGAGAACTCACACCTGCTTTTCGTCAGTGTGTATAGCTAATAAGAATGTTACCTTGTAGGAAAGTAACAAATGTTCCTCAGTCTCAGGATTAGCCAAGGTTAAAACCAAACAAATACACCATTGGTCAGCTTTTATCCCAAACCATACTTGTTACCAGCAGTGCTTTTCAACATGGTAGCTGTAAAGTTCTTGTTCCAAGTGAGAGACAGGGATTTACACTCACACACGAGCCTTGTGATACATCGCCCTGGGGCACACACAGTCCTCACCACCACCACCACCACCACCCCTTGCTTTTAATTTCAAATCTATGCTTCTACTAGCTACAGTGGTGATCATTGTTTTTGACTAGATCATGACATAAAATTCTGTTACATCAAATTCTTCTGGCAAGATGTGCAGAAGCACCCACAGGCAGGAGAGCAAACTGTTAAGGGAACTAGCGGTAGTCCTTGCCAAAATCATCTGGAATGCTTCTCTTCAGATATGAGATGAGACATGGAAGCATTTCTGGAAGCTTAAGGCAGCATGCTGGTCTTGCATTTCAGCATATGTGGAAATTCAGGTAGTCTTCTGGTAGACATGTGTATTTCCTTCCATATTCCAGCAACAGCTACTTTCTGGGTTTTTCCAGGATATTCAGGAATTTCCCTCGAGTCATTTCTCTTGCTGAAATTACAGGAAAAACACAAAAAGAAAAAAGAAGCTTAACATAAAAACAGACAGAATTGGATAATTCACCCCACTTGTGGAATTAATTTAAAATGGCTGTCTGGTGCCAAGAGGTAACAAAAAAAGATATAAAGTGAACAAATAAATTTGTTCCTTGTAGCCTGGAAACATCAGCCAAGCACTGAAAATATCAACACCCCACCTAATACCCACAGGCTGTCGCATTTCATACCATATCTACTTCTTTTATTCCCACTGTGGTTAGCTTCAAGAACTCCCTTTCAGTTTTTCTACTATATTCATCTATGAATAGTATAATTTCCAGTGCCACTGCTCCTCCTCAGGGCATCTCTTCTTGGATGCTATAACCCTTCAGAGATTATGGACCTCTGTCTCTCTCCATTTCAAGATTACTTGTCCCCGGATACTTATGATCTTAAACATAAATGAGACAGCATTTCCACTCTCCCTTGGCAGTGATAGTCCCTGGATGCTATAACATAATAGAGTTTATGTTCCCTCAAAGTAGTTCATCTATGGATAGTGTGTTAAAGTAGAGTTTATAGAGCTCTGCTCAGCACCTTCACACAGTATTCTCATTACCTGAATTCTTAATACAGCAAGGCAAAGTTTATATGTTTCCCTCTGCGTCATCAATCTCTGGGAAGAAGTCTACAGAGTTTTTACAAAGCTACTTTCGTATAGAAACGTTTCCAAGATTTTAGTGCAGGAAGCCGAAGATGTACATTTCTACTTAAGACTGAAATTTTAAGACAGTACTTGAGCGCATTCCCTTTGGGGCTGTCCCCTCATCCTTACATCTGTAATATTGGTAAGTATGGCAATGGAATATATGCAGAGGGAAGTCTAATATACTGCAAAGACCCTTGGGTATGCAATTCCCTGCATGCTTTGTGTCATGAGGGCCAGACTTCCAACCATAAAGGGTAGCCTTTGTTGTTAATGAAATGTTGTCCCCAAGCGCAGTGCTTTCCCTTTCCCTACAATGACAGCCCATTCATTTGTATCTAAGAAACCGGAATGTAATGAAAGCTCAAAAAATGACAGGACCCAGTGCATAACAGCTGTAAAAAATTCATGTTGTAACCATTTAAAAGATAAAAATAAAACTGCCAATACTATAATGCCTTTCTACAAATCTGTGATGCAACCACCATTGAAATATTAGTTACATTTCTGGTCATCACATTGTTAATATATTGTAGAGCTTGAAAATGTGCAGGAAAAGGCAACCAAATTTGTGAGAGTGATGTGGCAAGATGAGTTTAAGAAAGAGTTTGGAAACATTCAGTTTAGGAAAGAACACAAATAAGAGGTCCTTCAGTGACCGAATCATCACCTTCAGTGCTACCAGCTGCTGTTGCTCCTTATCTTCTGCCTCATCACTTTTACTACCTGTTTCTCCTCTCCTCACTACCACCACTGTCTGGGCCAGAATGAAAGGTAGGTGAGCAAGCAAGCTGCCATAGTAAAGAGGAGGAGCAACTCCAGAGGGTTCTTGACAATGCACTCTTGATGGGGACAGGTAATCAACCATGCCTACCCTGGACACAGGACGCATGGGAGGGGGGCCACGATAGAGGTTTATCAAGAAGAAGAAAATGGGAGCAGAGAAGTTACCCTCCATTTCTCTTAATACTAGAATCTAGGATCATTCAATAAAGATGAATGGTGAGAGACTCCAGACAAACAAAAGGAAGTACTTCTTCACACAGTGAACAGTTAAGTATGGAAGTTTACTTCTAGATATAATGATGGCCACTAATTCAGATGGCTTTAAAAGGGGATAAGGCAAATTCCTGGACGATAAAGCTATCCAATGCAACTTGGGTCATTTTTAGGGTAGGAGCTAAAATTTGCTTCCTGCTCTAGTTAATTATTCCCCGTTAACAATCAATCTTGGCACTATCTGCATAGACTCAACCTGGCTTGTTCCTTGCTAACTCTAGCATTAATTGTAATGTTGGGAACTGGCTATTTTAGACAGAGCAAAGGCATAGTTCCATTTCCCTGTTCAGAGACAGCATGGTTCTCAATACCAGCTTCTGGGAACAACAACAGTCATGGCTAGTAGCTTCAAATACAGGCTATGTTTCTAAGGATTTCGGTCTCTAGATGAAGAATTAGACTTATTTCCAAGATTGCAAATAATATCTGAAGACTTCTTTAGTCCTAAGAGTTTGCTGTACATTGTATGGACAATGCAAGTCATATCACAAAGGGTATATTCTACAAAAACAGGCGCAAATAGAAAATTATGGTATTTTTCATCAATAGAAATTAATTTACAATTTTTAAATATCAAATATTCATTATAACACAGAAGATGTTGGTGCTAACAAACTCTTCACTACCACCAAGATTGCATATTCCTAGCTCTTTAAAACTACCTCATAGTCACACCTCTAGATTAAACAGAAACATTACCTGAATATTTTTTATATTAATCGGCAGTGAATTGGTAATGACAATATTTAGTTTAGTTTCTCGTCAGTAGATTTCAGAATTAGCATATTCAAAGTGACCACATCAAAAAGCATACCATGGGGGAAGTAAAATGGGAGAGCATACATATGTTCCCATCCCCCAATACATGTAGTATAAAACCTTCCCCCTGACTTTACAGTCAAACATGTACAAATCTGGTTTGGTCCGCAATATTCCTCCAAGCTTGATACCTCCCTCTTGTACCATTTTAGCTACATAAATAACTGCACTTATGCCTGAATACTGAAGATATGTTTTGCAAGAAACCCGATTAACTACTAGGCAGTACGTAGTACACTAGAAATTGGCCAGTGGTTCATCAGTGGACCATGATATGCCTTCTGCTACCCCAGTTTACAGAACCGCTTTAGTGAAACTAAGTATCACCCCCTTGACTCTAGGGACCTCACCTCAAATGTCAGGATCATACAGAAAGTTTTTAACCCACCCTCAGCTGCAGTCATGACTGTATTTCTCTCAAAGGGGTGAAATAGGCACCAGTCATTCCTCATGCGGAAAACTAAATAGTGGGTCACAACTGACAGGACTGTATTAGCGTTTTAACATTTTTGAACACAACTGATGAATCCTATGTTATGTTACTGAATATATATGGAACCAAACTAAAAAATCCAACTATATACAGTCTAGAACTAGAGGTTGTAACACCTAGAATCTTACCAAGCCCATTTCACAGGACTGTTAAGTAGCTAAAAGATACAAGCCAACTAAGTATACTTCAAACTGGCAATGCAATTGTTTCCCAGTTTTGATTCTAGCTTACTAAGGTTTTAAGGTGGTACAGCAAGCAGGCTGAACAGTGGGGGACATAGGAAAATGTAGCCAAGTGGGGAGATGTAGGGAAAAGAAAAGATGCGAAGCAGTCATATGACCATATTGAACCCAGAAACAGAAAACATCAAACTGTATTCACTCAATCTACATTTTACTACATTAAAAACAGTTGTATAAATTGCCACTTGCTTTGTAAGTTGAAGTGAACTGCAAACTTTCTTGTGACAGAGATTACACCACACCTATTTGTGAAGTTGAGGCTGTGAAATGAATTTAAATGTTCCAGCAAAAAATGCAGGAGACACCTATTGTCTTATATTTTTTTCTTTTTCTTTGTATAAAGGGAAAAGGCTATACTTAACCACTGGAAATTTGAGGTTCAAGAAATTTCCACCTTGAATTAGATCCCACACCCTGTTCTTCCTCAAGTAATGTCAAACTGCGGCATTATCAGCTGATGGAGTGGAAGTTTTCCAGAGCACCAGTCCCATATAGGAGATATACGAATATGTGACAACTACGCGCCCCTGAAGAGGGCTGTACCCTATAAATCAGCCTGCAAGCATTGACTAGTTCTGCGCTCCAAGTGAAATTACTGTGAGTTGGGGGCTGCTCCAGAGCACGTGCCCTCCTGTTCGCTTGTCAGCGGAGATGTTAACATTTCTGATTAATTCACAGACCTCTCATTTTATTCTTCATTCCTTTATCCTTGCTATCCTGCTCTGCCGCAGCTTAAAGATTCTTACCGACCTGCTACAATAATCACCACCCGCTCGTCCTCCCCCCCCACCTGGTGAAATTGTTTAGTGATGCCAACCGCGCTTTTAATTTGCAAGACATCAGACACAGAGGTAATTTATACCAACATCTGTTCATTTCTGACTTCTGAAACAAACTCGCACATGCTGCTACGAAATCCCATTAGGAGCAGGAGACAGCCTTCTGCTATTCTGTATTCCTCTTCTCAATACACACTAAGGAGGCAACTAGGCTTTAAATTTTGAAACATGATACAAAACTGAGGGAAGGTCCTGAAAGCTACCAAATAAACCTCCCATATTCATCAAGTGCCAACAAATTGTGTAGAGAGGTTTCTGAATTTTTCTACCTACTTGTGCATGTGTGTCTCTGTGGGTCTTGTCTTGCTGATCCACCCCTTCACCCAATGTAGTATACTGCTGGTAACATGAAGCAAATTCAGACTGCATAGTCCCAGTATCTCAAACAGTCAATTTTATTTAGTTTCTTTCCTTCTGTAGTTCTGTCCCCACAATCTCCCACCTGTAAATATGGAAGGAGCTCCAACAACTGTCTCTAGTGGAACAGTTCTTGCTTTGTATCACTCCAGTCCTTTATAATGCATGATAAATTTTAATTCTAGGTATCTCTGAGTTGTTTTGATGGAGAAACAAGCCAGGCAATGAGGAAATCACTGTGGCCCTTATTGTAGATGCAGTTGCTATCAGGAAAACTTGCAGTAATAGCTGCTGCCACTGACTACCCATGGGAGCAAGGGAAGCCAGTTACTTTGTACATAGAGATGGGTCTTTAAATGAATAGCTAAGAAAAATGTATTAGAAATGATAGGAATATTTTTAAGTGTACTTAATCCAAAGGAGTTGCCTCAGCATACTAGGAAGTAAAAAGAGCCAGTACAACACAAAACTGAAACATGAATTGCCATGTCAGGGCAC